CACAGGGAATTTTGCAAATTTCCTCGTTGGACCTTATCTTTGTTGCTGTGAGTACAACAACTTACCCTTGAAAGGCAAGGCATTAGTGTCTTGCCTCAAATAAAGAGGGGTCAACGAAAAGGGATACCTTATTACGCAAGTTGTTAATTATCGCAAAAACGGTCCATAATTTTAGTCTAAAAGGAAAATTTTTGAATGTATCTCAAGCTATCCATGAACGTAAGGTGCTAGGACTATGTAATTTATGGTGCTCTACGGTTTCAAAAGAATACGAATCAAAGGCAGTCGGTTTTACTAGCAGGACCTTTGACTCTCCCAAGACTAAAAAAGGGAATCTTGGTGTGGATCCTCGTAAGAATTGTCAATATGGCATCTCTTTTCGTTTCATGAATCGCACTTACAAAGAAACTTTTCATAAAATTTCTAAAAAGTTGGATTTCCGTTTGAAATGTAACCTCACACCTTTCCGCGTTTTTTTTTTGAGGACTAAATCGTTCACGATCTTGGCCGTACGTTACGTAAGGTTTTGAGTGAAATCTTTTTTAAGAGAGGAATAGCAGTGTATTGGAATGCATGAACTAAGAAATTGAAAATGAGCTTGATAGGAAAACTAAGAATATGCTAAATATATTATGAGTGAATACGCTATGTCATTGCGCAATGGCCCATTGCTAAATCTGAAGCAAACTTAGAAAATGGTGTTGGATCGATAGGCATTTGAGATGAGATGCATATTTCAAGAGAGTTCATAGTGTTGATCTCAAATCTGGGTCCTATATCTGCTAAACGACTTCCGAAGAAAAGTTCTAGAGGCAAATCTAAACCGGAAATATGATGAGGCATAGCGAACTGAGCTTAAGTGGTTGAAAATAGCGTAGTGGTAAGTCTCTTATCTTTCAAAATGATATATCTCCATGGCTCACCGTTTTGCATTCCTTATTCCATACATATATCCCATGCACACTTATTGCTTGCTGAAAAAACAGCATCATAAGCACTTTTCATAGCTGAAGCTCATTCGCGAGATTTTGCAAACT